ATTTACGATTTTTTTACTTTGCCAAAGAATTTCAAACATTTTCTCTCTTTCTTATTAATCACCCAAATTTTTCGATTCTTTTCCATTTTCAAAGGTTTTCAAACCCAATTTCTCTCTTTATTACTAATCACCCAAAATCTCTCCTTTTTATTGACACAATACGGACGAAATTCGAAATGTTGCTTTAGAATCAAATTGGGGTAATTTTTGAAACTTGTTTCCTTTCTNTTTACTTGACCAAAGTAATTTCAAACTATTTCTCTTCTTTCTTATTATCCAACCTTAATTTTCGATTTCCTTTACTATTTACGTAAGTTTACCAAACCTATTTCCTCTTATTACTAATCACCCAAAATCTCTCCTTTTTATTGACACAATACGGACGAAATTCGAAATGTTGCTTTAGAATCAAATTGGGGTAATTTTTGAAACTTGTTTCCTTTCTTTATTTTTTCTAATTTTCAAGTTTTACTCTGAATTAATAGTGGCTCTGTACCAATTTCTCTGTATTTGATCTTCTTCGTGTTTTCTATATATTTAAACAATGTCTCTTTAATATATATTTTTTTGCTTTGACCTTTTTCAGAATAACAATGGGTAAGAAACCTTCACATGAATCTTCGAGAAAACGTAGCAACAATTTTGTTGGTGATACACCAATAGGTAACACAACAATTCAAAGATCTCCCCGGAAACATATTGAAAAAGTTGTGGCTGACATACCTAGTTTCGACTTAGGTGTATTTACACAAGAAAAACACATCAAAAAGTCGAATTCTAGGCATGCAATACCTGTAGTGATTCATAGGTAAAAAACTTAATTATATGATAATTATATCAGATTTGTTTTAGATTGTATCACAACTCTATTAAAATTGTATGTGACTTGTAGATGATAGATCAATACCTAAAAAAAATACATGACACAATAATACACTTATAATACGATGTTATATTAGATTTTTAGTTTAGAGTTATGATTTAAACTTGATGAAGATGAAGATCATAAGTGTATCATAATTTTTAGAAATGCATCACGATTGTATTATAATTGCATTTGCATCATAATTGTTACATAAATTGTATTAAAAAGGTACGATAAATTTATATTGTTTCAAGCAGTTGTGAGTTTGAGACCAATTTCACAGTCTGTATCACAAATATATAATAATTGCATATTAATTTATTAGTATTATATCAATTATTATTTTGGTTATTTATGTACCAGATACAAGTTAGATACAATTGTGAAACAAGTATGATATAATTATTTTTTAGGCATTGATGTATCAGATAGAATTATAATACAATTATCATACAATTCCTGCAACTTTTTCTTTTTCGAGTTTCAATCTGAAATTTCATCTAAACTCAACTCTATACTTAACTAATTTCTCTCAAAATTGAGATCTCAACTCCAAAGGATATTTTCAATCATGTGCAAGAATACCCTCTAAACAAATCAAAAAATTTGAAAATCCGAATATCGAATTCAATGGAAAGAGAGAAGATGGAGATTTTGAGCGTAAATTAAGGGATTTTGATGTAAAGAAAAAAAGGAAGGAGAGAAAAGAGGAGAGGAAAAGAAAGGAAATGATGTAATTGAATCCCTTAATAATAGGGGTAAGGAGGAATGTATACAATTTATAAAAAAAAACTAGATACTTATCAAAAACTATGAAACATAGAGAAAATAAGTATATAAGTTTCTAGGCCTGCGCCGATAAGTCATGTATTAGGGGTAAAGTGCTCCCTAACAAAGCTAATTTCATACCCAGAATTCGAATCTGAAACCTTTAATTAAGAACGAAGAAGTATTTACCACTACATCCGCTGGTATATATCATTTATCACTACTCACTAGGATGTCAAATGGGCAAATTGAGTCCAGTTCTAGTATGTTAGATACTTAAATTGAGTTGAGCACAATTCAACCACCAAAATTTTGTATGTGTCAAGATGAGTATAGTTGGGAAAAAATGAGTTGAATAACGTGGCGTAGTTTAATTTGTCCAATTTACGTTAAAAGGATTAGACAGTTTACACTTTTATGGATCAAAATTGATGTTGAACAAGTACATGAGATCAATTTTAAAGTAATCATACAAGGATGAATCAATAAATGAGTCATAATCTAATATGTTTAGAGATTACTAACGATACGATGAATTGATCAATGTATTATACCTAATTAACTAGACCCCTCCAACTTAAGCTTAAATTTGAGCAACATGGATGAATCACACTTCAATAGGCCAGAATTGACACTCTAATTCCCAATAAAGTGTTCTATAGTATTTACGTAAATTTGCTATCTTTTTTTGTGTATTAATTTATGTTTGTAATCTTATATAAAGCGGGTAGACTGTCTTTAAGTGTTCTAATAAATCTAATTATATTCTCCTAGTTGCTAAAGCAAGCTGTGAAATAATATTGTATGTGCATGACAACGAACGAGACAAACACTTTTAAGTGGTTCCTTTTTTGTTTCTTTCTTTCCATGTGGGGCATGGAATATTAAATAATTCTTCAATTTTATAAACAGTTGAAACAATTTGTAGTATGTTCTTTTGTTTATCTTTTCGAAGTGCCGCTTTTCTTAAAAGTTTAATTTCTAAAATTTCAGTGGCCCCACTTGAGGGAAATAATTTGGTTTGGCAGTTTAAATTTGTTGACAGCTTGTGTTGTCTTCTTTCTTTTTTTCTAAACTTTCAAAAACCGCCATATTTTAGTGGTACCATTTACTGTATTACTTCCTATAATTATATTTTTAGATTTTTTAGAGTGTATTCGATGTATTTAAGCTACTGTATTCATGGATACAGTAGCATTTCTAGGCGTGAAACAGGGGATTACAGCTAGACAGATTTTTGTATTCGAGTGTATTCGACTGTATTCATGGCGTGAAACATGGGATTACAGCTGGACAGATTATTGTATTCGACTGTATTCACGACGTGAAACAGGGGGTTACACTATTTTTAAACGGAAAGTGAATCAATTAACAAATAGACTCCTAATATAACTCAACAAACTCAATTATTACACACAAATTTTGTATTTCCAGTTACAAAAAAAATTCTCAACCGAAAAACATCCCAAAAACATAGCAATCTTCAGATAAATTATATAATACATCTCAATACATAAATTATATTAATTGGAAAAAACATATGAATACATTCATGGAATATAGCGAGACAGTGAATACAATGAAATACATAGAATTCAGCGGGATACATTGAAATACAATTAAAAAAAAGATAATGAATACAATAAACTACATAGAATACAGCGAGTTACATTGAAATACAATGAGAAAAAAAAAGACAATGAATACAATGAAATACAGCGAGATACATTGAAATATATTAACGGAAAATTCAAGTTGCTCAGCCCCCAACCCTGTCGTCTTTGTTCAAGATCAAACCTAATGTTGTCTCGTTGAAGCAGATCAGTATCCAGTCCTCGCTTGCCGTCACCGTTGCCTCCGGTTGCTGACGATTAGCACGTAATTACCGGCGAAATAACGGAGGTTTTTGTTGATCCGATATGTTGCGTCAGAGAATGAGATTGGGAGGCTTAGGGCGGCGGTATCAATGAATAACGGTCACGGTCGAAAAGGTGACGGTGGCAATTGCTCCAGCGTCCGGTGGAGGAGAAGACATCGGGAAGTAAAGAGAGAGAGGGGGAATAGATATGGAGTAGGGGATAGGAGAAATTTGAGGGGATATGAAAGAAAAAAATAATACAAAGCTTATTTTATGGCTGAAGGGTATGAGGTGACCATAAATAGATATTTGGCTATAAAAAATCAAAACATAGCTATGGAGTATAATGTTTTAAAAGGGTATTTATTTAAAATAAATAAGGTATCAACCTTTGCTATAGGAGGTAACTAATCCTTTTCCAATTCCATTTTAACTTTAGGGTTTAAGCAGTCCGTCTAAATGGAAAAAAAATTACTTTCTCCGGTTTACAATAAGTGATGATTTTACCTTTTTATTTTGGTTCAAAATAAGTGTCTATTTACATAATCAAGAAGGAATTAATTTTATTTTTTCAAAATTTGCCCTTATTTACATATTTTAATGTGTCAAGGTAACAATTAATTAAGGTTAATTTAGTGAATACATCTTTTTTCTCTAGGAGTTCGTATTTTCTTAATGGGTCTGCCAAAGATAAAATGGTCACTTACTAATTATTATGGACTGGAGGGAGTAACTTTTATCTACATGTGATCTCAAACAGGGGCGTCTTAACAAAGTTGGTGTCCTAAAGCAAAATTTTGTTACGAGGCCTTAAGTATTATTTAAGAAAAAAAAACCTTTCATATATAT